CATGTCTCTTGGGATCTAACAAACATAAGTGCAATACATGGTTGTAGTTTGGTAAAGAAAGTTATGCTTTACTAAAAATTTATATGTAAAAAATAATCATTTTCATAGACCATAGTTTCATAGACTTCATGGAAGAGGTGAATTTTATGAAATAATGATGTTTAAAAGGAAGAGTGTTGTATTTTTGGTCTGTGGAGTCACTCATGTGCATAGATGAGGTTTTGTGCTGTTCCCTTCTAAAACATCTGTTGTACCTTTCCCTTTCATGTGCTGCTTTCTGCACTGTCTGTACTGCTTCTCTATCAAAAATGTCAAACACAACTCTACAGCTGTAATAATTTGGATGGTCAAATGATCTGTATATTACACAAATATTGTCACTTTGGGAGGGGTGCACATTTAAGGGGAAAGGATCAGAATTCAAAATATTTTTTGCCAAATTTGAGAAATATCCTAAAATCATATAATGATTTAGGTTGGAAAAGACTCTTAAGATCATTGAGTCCAACTGTAAACCTAACACTGCCAAGTCCACCACTAAACCACGTCTCTAAGCGCCACATCTACACATCTTTTAAATATATAGATCTAAGTCAGTATGAACAAATATTTCATTCAACTAGGGATATGCAGCAGAATAAAGATAGGTGTAGAATGACTCTACAAGCAAAGTTTGGCATTACAAGGCATCATAAAGTTCACAAGTATCTCTGAAGTCATACTATTATAAACAGTCATACTGAGCACTCTCATTTATGCAATGTAGTGTATACACATAGTATTAACCCTTCCACTTTTTTCAGCAGCGGTGAAAACATTCTGAAATACTTTGTCGAGTTTTCACATCTCAGGAAATGTAGACACCACCTGGGGAAAAAAAATCATAGTAAATGTGATTGGCAAGAAGGCTGTGGCTATAATGGTGGTGTTTATTCTGTAAAATAGGTTATAGGTAATGTGAAAGGGTAACTAAGGGGATACCAAAGAAACATCTTCTGGGGATGTTGTGAAATCACTCTGATTAGAGACTTTCAGAACAGACACTTGTCTCTCTTCCTAGGATGAATTTACATGTAATTCATCCTGGCACGTCACTGTAGGATGGACTAGGTAATCTGTTTCACAACTGGTTCCAGCCTGTTTTCTATGATTTTGCATCATGTCCAAGTTAATTTTTAAGTGTTAGGGGCCAAACACCTGCTTTTGTATCTGCTAGGTATGTCCTGACACTGATCCAAAATGTGCTGGCTGACAGCAACCTCAGATGTCATTTGGTAATCATGGCTCACCAGAGCCCAACTGCACTTTGACACAATCTCACTACTTGCCCCATCATATGAATCGTCTGCTCGTGACAGGCTGTCTTTTTTATTTAAACAACAGTTCTTCATTTTGATAATCACAGCTTTTAAAGCTTTTAACCCTTAGATCATTGTTTGGCTTCTTCCATATTACAGGCTATTACATTTCACTAAAGTACTCATATTATCATCAAAGCACTTCCTCCCGAAAGACATCTAGTTTTGATCTGAAGATATTACAAGATGGAGAATCGAGTACTTCTGTTGATAATTTCTTCCAGTGGTTAATCATTGTCATTGTGAAACTTGCACCTGGTTTCTAATTTGCATTTAGTGGCTTTAGCTTCCAGGGATTTGTTAATATATTTCCTCTTTGGCTAGATTGAAGAACCTGCTTGTATTTTATACTTTGTTCCTCTAAACATAATCAGGTCCCTTCTCAATCTTCTAGGCAGTAAATGACAAAGAACAAAGTATAAGTCTAACGGCAAGGCATTTTTACAGGCCCTTAATAACTTCCAAGGCCTTCTATGTATTCCCTTTTCTGTTTTTTTCAATGCTACATTCCAATACCAGATTTGGCAATGCTGTAAAGAGAGCTAAAAAATACCCCCTCCTCCTGTTTCCATGATGGGTAATCACATCAACTCTTTTGCCGTAATATTGTGTTTCTCTGGGACTTGTCCAAGACAGCAATGTTCACAGTCAAAGTCTTGAGCCAGTGGTGCATACCCAGTTGATAGGCACAACTCCAGTGTGAGCCCCCACTCCCCTTCTCCCCAGCTTTGCTTGGATGCTCTGCCTAGTGAGCCATCTCTTTATTTTAGGCATCTGTTGTACTGAAGGCTGTTTTTCAGAGCGGTTATTTCTCTATTAGGAACAGTACAGTATAGCAAGATGACTATCTTCTTCAATTGACCTAATTTCACTAATAATGATATCTGGTCCTCTGCAGCTTCTGGAACGAGGAGCAGTTTTACACCTCTATCTGATAAACATCTGTTCCGTTTCAGCCTTCTTCAGAAACACCGGGGCTCCATTGCTTTTTCTGTACTCCTGAATTTGCCCCTTTGTCTCAATGGGGCAGGCTGTTTATCACATTGACTTTCTGGTCTAGCTAGAGAACAACTTGATACTTCTCAGTGAGGAACCAAAATAGAGCTATATTAAAGATTGCTTATTAGACAAATCATATGAAGTCAGGAAAGCCCCGGCGCTGAAAATAGAGATTGGGAGAGTACATGGGGAAGTGTCATATATGGTTACCCTTTTCTTAGACTTTCCTGGGCACTTGTTTATGGGCTCTATTCCTACTGGTCTCCTCTGTTGGCCTAACTCTAACAAGTCCAAATTGCTTCCCTGGAAAGGGCAGGGGGATGCCAAAGAAAAGGAAACTAGGAAAACAAATAACCTTTCTTTGGTTATTTGGGGCAGAACAACAGATGGTGACGAGAGGGGAAATGAGCATTAAAGCATCAAAAAAATTTAATGTGGAACTGAGTAAGGACTCTGAGCAGAGTACCTCCAGTTGATGGGCCCTGTTCCTACTGGTTCTCTCTTGGGATGGGCAGCCATCCCCCACAACTCACAGAGGGTACCTCACAAAAAAGGGCTGAAAAAGAAACAAGGGAGAAAGACATTAATGACAGGGATGAGCAAATTAAGAAAGTGAAGTAGGTGAGGGCACAACATGTGGAAGGAACCAAACTGGGCAGTGAGCATAGTGCCTACCCCAGCTCGTGGCCAGTTTTGATCTCTTGTTTTGGTATTTTTTTTCTGCAAGCAATGTACTGTTGCAGATTAAAATGTTTTGCTGGTCGCAGTGTGAAGTTATGAATTCTTGTAGTTGTGTACTAAGGGAGGGGGTGTCACATGAGAAGAGACACGTCAAGGCTTATGGCACTGGGCTGGGTGTCGGCGCCTAGAAGACAGGTGAAGTCAGAAATAATTAAACACCACAATTTGTGCTTAGAAGCTTAACTTACGTCCCAAGCACATTCCAGAATTGAAACTGCAGCTTGCGTACACTTACCTAAGTTAACATTTAAAGTAGCTGTGCATATACAAGAGAAAATGTAACTCTGCTTGTGCCAGTTCTAAAGGGCAGGTACTTAGCTGGACTTCAGGTTGCCCTGCAGCCCGTGCTGAGCTCTATTCTGCCCCAGTTAGGAGCAATATATGATCTGAGACAACTGGTTTACATCTTTGTGAGCTGCAGCTCCTCCTGGGATTGCAGGGCAGGCATCGGAACTGCGGGGAATTTTGCTGTAGCACTTTGAAGAAGCTCCTGGCTGCATCTGCTTGATGCATTTATTGAAGATCGCTAACCTCACAGCAGAACTGACATAATGAGCCAGACACTTCTCACACTTCTCGTACAAAGTGTGGTGTCTTTCCTTAAGACGATTCTCTTCACTATTCTGAGGTGAGGTTTGAGCCATCCCAGCTTTCTTCCCCATCTTATTTGCAGAAGCATCAGAGCTGTTGTGAACACACGCCTGAGCCCCCTGGGTCATAGCTTAGTGACACTGAAAGACCATGCTGTAAACCGTGGCTGCTCAGGAGTGGTTCAGTGAGTCACAGCTCCAAGCATCTGAAGCAAACAAGTCATGTGTTCATCAGTTGCCTCTTTTGTGAGGAAGGTGATCTCTGGCAGCAGAGCATTGTCATGTCTATGCTGAGGAAAGGTCATTGCTGGGTAATTGGTACCAGGCAGCCCCAAGTAATACCACATGGAGAAAGAGTATGAGAGGTGTCTATGATGATCCTGGCCAGCCTGGTTCATATTCAGCCTGCCTTCTGTGGATCACTATAAAGCAATACCAAGTCCAGGGAAGTGCTGAGCTACATATG